AGAACTATGCTTTCCGTAGTAAAATCATCTTCATGCATGACAATGCACCATCTCATGCTGCAAATAATACCTCTGCATCAATGGCTGTTATGGGGATAAAAGGAGAGAAAGTCATGGTGTGGCCTCCATCCTCCCCTGACCTCAATCCTATTGAGAACCTTTTGAGCATCCTCAAGCAAAAGATCTATGAGGGTGGGAGGCAGTTTACATCCAAACAGCAGCTCTGGGAGGCTATTCTGACATCTTGCAAACAAATTCAAGCAGAAACTGTCCAAAAACTCACAAGTTCAATGGATGCAAGACTTGTGAAGCTGCTATCAAATAAGGGGCCCTATGTTACAATGTAAAGTGAACTGTTTAAAATGTTTAAAAAGTTAAAATGTTGTTAAAAGTTTGATTGAAATAGCTTTTGATTTCAGTAAATATGCTGCAAACACAACAAATGACAATTTTCAGTTCTTTACAACCTATAAAGTGTTTGGAAACTTACTGTGCGGAATAATTTGGAACAGTCATTGGAAGTGTTTTATGTTTAACAAAAATCCTGTTATCATTAGGAGGTTTGTTCAATAAAATGTGAATTGTACTCTTAATAGTTGATAACATGAGAATTATGCTGACTGTTACATCAATTATTTAGGTAAATGAGAAAAATATAATTTGCAGAATAATTTGGAACACGGTGCATAATGGGAGACAGTACACGAGAAAGTACAGTAACAATACTATTCAATACACGAGGGGTACGAGGGCCCTGCTCCTTGGAGCCTACAATCTAGGACATCAGCTCACTTACGCCACTGGGCCAGGATGTGGGATGGTGGTAATTGTGATTTACAGCTGTCTCAGCCGGGGACTGCGGCACTCAGAACTGACTTCACAGAGGCCCGGGAGGAAGCGGAAGTTGACCTCTGGCTTGGACCTCAAGCTTCGCTGGTAACCACGTCAAAACATTTTGCGCGCATATGCTTTATCAAGTCATGGATATCGGTGGTTACCAGCTTATTTATAAAGGGGAACACAACAACTGGGCCCGCGTTGACCAGGGGTGTAACCAGAATGGATATTCCACCACGGCAGAGTGGCTTAGTGGTTAGCACGTCTGCCTTGCAGTAAATGGGTCATGGGTTCGATTCCCGGCCATGGTGCCTCCTGCATGGAGTTTGCATGTTCTCCCTGTGCTTGCGTGGGTTTCCTCCGGGTGCTCCGGTTTCCTCCCACACTCCAAAGACATGCTGGTATGTTAATCGGATCCTGTCTAAATTGGCCCTAATATGTGTATGTATGAATGTAAGTTAGGGACGTTAGATTGTACACCCCTTGAGGGTTAGGGACTGATGTGAATGCTCAATATATATATGTGTAGAGCGCTGTGTAAATTGATAGCGCTATATAAGTACCTGAAATAAATAAATACATCTGCAGAGTCCCCTAAAAACCAGATTGGTTAATACACAATTATGTATACTGCATTATGGTAATCCATAAAAGATAAAATTAGGTATATAAACTTATATCAAAAATGTAAATATACAATGTGCAAATAATAACAAATACACACTTTTAAAAGCTACAAAAACTCTTATTAGAAAGCATTGGATTGTAATGAACTTAAAAAAGTTATTAATATACAGAATACTACAATAAAAAAAACATGTGACTGAAAGAATTAAAAAATGAAAATTATGGTAATAGTCTATGCACAAAACTGCATGTATGTTTTGACTAAATGTCAAAAAACCGATTATATAAGATTCAAAAGTCAAGATTTAAACAATACTATGGCTCTTGAGATCTTCATTGAGACCATTTGGAGACATTGAGCCCAATTTTAAATATTCAAAACGTTTCTCTGGTACAAAAAAGAAAATCTTTCGTTATCTGTTAAGGATCTAGTCTAAAGTGTTCAATTGCCATAACTTCAAGACCTTCCAAATTTTTTTCGTGGGCTTGAAGAAAATGTCGGGGAATACTATGTTTATCACACCCATTCTTTATAAGCCTATGGTGTTCACCAATATGTTTCCATAAAGGGCGTATGGTGCGGCCTACGTACAATAAATTACATGGGAAAGAGAGTACATATACCACAAACTCTGTCGCACAAGTTATAAAATGTTATATCCAAAAATTGTTACCCTTGTGTTCTATTACTTCAGAACGACCATGTGTGATAAATTGACAAGTCAGGCAACCTCTTTTCTTACACTGAAAGATTGGAATCCTATTATCAAAATAGGACTGAATACTTATGTCCCTCTTTGTGTGTATTGATAGTTTACTGGGAGCTAAAATATTTCTCAATGTCCACATCTTTCTAAAGGTAACCTGGGGGGCTGGAGGTAGAACAAAGGCCAATTTGGGGTCTAACTGGAGAATGTTCCAGTGTTTACGAATGATCTTAGAGATCTTATGAAATGCGTTATTGTATACCGTGATAAATCTCAGTGTTATGATCACTAATATCAGTCAAACTTTTATTGTTCACTTGAGGATTTTGATGTTTAGCAAAAACCTCCTTTATCAAAAATAAGGGGTACCCTTTTTCGATTTATTTGGATGATAAAATTTCTCCTTGCTTTTTGTACACTTCAACAATTTCTCCTGAGCCTATTGAATTGCTCACTGGGAATATTATTTCTCCAGGCTGGATGGTGACAACTGGAGTAGTGAAGGTAAGAATTACCCCCAGTGGGTTTAGTATAATTACTAGTGCATATGGCCTTCTCTTCATGAGATAATATAAGATACAAGAAAACAATGGATTTCGGGTCAAACACATGAGTGAAATTGAAACCTAAAGAATTGGAATTGCAATGAACAACAAAGGCCAAAAAGACATCAAGGTCCCCATCCCAGATGAGAAGGATGTCATTGATATATCGTCCATAAAAGATGATATATCTAGCAAAGGGATTGTTGGCCCAGATATATTGTTCTTCCCACAAGCCCATTTCTAGATTGGCATACCCTGGAGCAAAATTAGCACCCATAGCTGTCCCATTTGTCTGCAAATAAAATTGATCTAAAAAAGTAAAATAATTGTGTTTCAGACAAAATTCAGTACTGTCAACTAAAAACTGGGCCTGCCTGGAATTCATATTAGAATTCACAGACAAATAGTACTGTATTGCTGATAAGCCAATTTTATGAGAGATAGATGTATACAATGATGATACATCTAAAGATGCCCAATTATACCCCTCTTCCCAGTTTTTAATGTTTTAGGACTTCAATAACATGACCCGAGTCTCTAATATACGAGGGAAGTTGAAAAACCATTGGTTGAGGAAAGAAATCAATATATTTGGATAGACCATTAATAAAACTGTTGGTGCTTACTACTATGCGTCTTGCTGGAGGATGATCTAATGATTTATGAACCTTTGGGAGATGATAGAAATAAGGGGTGCTGCACACAGAGGGGAGCAAAAATAGTTTCTCCCTCCTGTCCAGCACACCCCCATTTCATGCTTCTTCAACCAGTGTTTTCAGAGCCAACTGAAAAGTTGGTAACGGATCCTCCTTCAGTTTAATGTAAGCATTGATATCTGTCAGGGCTCCAGGGTATGACCAGAGGTCTGTGACTGACGCAGGGAAACGCAGGCTTCAGATAAGTTATAAACAATATAATTTATTAAAGACTAACAATACAAACATAAATGCAGTGCAATACTAAAACATAACACAGTGCAAACGAACCAAACCAAACCACCCACAGATAATACATACAATGCAAGCGTCGTCAGGCAGGCCAGGTCAATAACAATCAGGCAGGTAGGTACAGGGGGGTCAGGCAGAGAATGGTCGGGGTCACAAGCCAGGGATGAATAAACAGGAGAAGTCAGCAGAGGTCCAGATCAGGCAGGGTCAGCAACGAATCAGTCAGACAGGGACAGGAACAGGAATGCAGGAACAAGATACAGGGCCCAGGAAAAACACACACACCAAGGCAAAGACTGCAGGTCTGGCCATCACTTAAATACACCTGCATAAGCAGTTTCAGGTGTTTGGCTGGCTGCAGGGTTGAGTCTCTGATTGCTGGGAGCACCCGCTGGCCAGCCCTGGTACTGCAGCCCACAAGGCAGGTGAGTCCCACCATTACTGGCAAGTCCATTCCTAACAGTACCCCCCCTCAAGGAGCGGCCTCAGGACGCTCCAAACAGTCCTAGCTGGGCAAAATGTTCCACACCGCCCGGGTCTGGTAACTGGCGGGATATCAAAGACTGGCACATCGGGCTGGACTCCGGGCAGCGGCACACCGGCTGGACTCCGGGCAGCGGCACACTGGGCAGCGCCACACCGGGCAGCTGCACACCGGGCTGGACTCCGGGCAGCGGCACACCGGGCTGGACTCCGGGCAGCGGCACATCGGGCTGGACTCCGGGCAGTGGCACATCGGGCTTGACTCCGGGCAGCGGCACATCGGGCTGGACTCCGGGCAGCGGCACATCGTGCTGGACTCCGGGCAGAGGCACATCGGGCTGGACTCCGGGCAGAGGCACATCGGGCTGGACTCCGGGCAGAGGCACATCGGGCTGGACTCCGGGCAGAGGCACATCGGGCTGGACTCCGGGCGGCGGCACATCGGGCTGGACTCCGGGCAGAGGCACATCGGGCTGGACTCCGGGCAGAGGCACATCGGGCTGGACTCCGGGCAGAGGCACACCAGGCGAAGCAGCAGGCACCGGGGCACCACCAGGCGGAGCAGCAGGCACCGGGCCACCAGGCGGAGCAGCAGGCACCGGGCCACCAGGCGGGGCAGACAGGCACCGGGCCACCAGGCGGGGCGACAGGCATCGGGCCCCCAGGCGGGGCGACAGGCATCGGGCCCCCAGGCGGGGCGACAGGCATTGGGCCCCCAGGCGGGGCGACAGGCATCGGGCCCCCCAGGCGGAGCGGCGGGCGCCGGGCCCCCAGGCGGAGCAACAGGCATCGGGCCCCCAGGCGGAGCGGCGGGCCCCCAGGCGGAGCGACAGGCCTCGGCCCCCAGGCGGAGCGGCGGGCGCCGGACCCCCAGGCGGAGCGACAGGTCCAGGGGCCCCCAGGCGGAGCGGCGGGCGCCGGACCCCCAGGCGGAGCGACAGGTCTCGGGCCCCCAGACGGAGCGGCGGGCACCGGACCCCCCACGCGGAGCGACAGGTCTTGGGCCCCCAGGCGGAGCGGCGGGCGCCGGACCCCCAGGCGGAGCGACAGGTCTCGGGCCCCAGGCGGAGTGACAGGTACCGAGTCACCAGGCACGACAGTGGGCTCCGAGTCAACTGGCATGACCGCTGGCACTGGGTCAGACATTGGATCGTCTGGCTGGACAGCGGGCATCGGATCACCAGGCATCAGGTCATTTGGCTCGACAGCGGGCACCGCGTCATCTGGCAAGGCAGTGGGCTCCAAGTCAACTGGCATGACCGCAGGCACTGGGTCAGACATTGGATCGTCTGGCTGGACAGCGGGCATCGGGTCACCAGGCATCAGGTCATTTGGCTCGACAGCGGGCACCGCGTCATCTGGCAAGGCAGTGGGCACCAAGTCACCAGGCATGACAGTGGGCTCTGAGTCAATTGGCACGACAGCGGGCACCGGGTCATCAGGTACCGGATTGTCTGGCTCGACAGCGGACATCGGGTCACCAGGTATGACAGCGGGCACTGGGTCACCAGGCATCAGGTCATTTGGCTCGCCAGCGGGCACCGCGTCATCTGGCAAGGCAGGCAGTGGGCACCGAGTCACCAGGCACGACAGCGGGCTCTGAGTCAATTGGCACGACAGCGGGCACCAGATCATCAGGTACCGGATCGTCTGGCTCGACAGCAGGCACCGGGCCATCTGGCGCTGGATCGTCTGGCTCGACAGCGGGCATCGGGTCACCAGGCATGACAGCGGGCACTGGGTCATCAGGCATTGGATCGTCTGGCTCGACAGCGGGCATCGGGTCACCAGGTATGACAGCGGGCACTGGGTCACCAGGCATCAGGTCATTTGGCTCGCCAGCGGGCACCGCGTCATCTGGCAAGGCAGTGGGCACCGAGTCACCAGGCACGACAGCGGGCTCTGAGTCAATTGGCACGACAGCGGGCACCGGGTCATCAGGTACCGGATCGTCTGGATCAACAGCGGGCATCGAGTCAACTGGCCTAATAGGATCATCAGGCTGGATCAGTTCATCAGGCTGAGTAGAGGCATCAGGCTGAGTAGAGGCATCAGGCGGGGTAGAGGCATCAGGCTGGGTAGAGGCATCAGGCTGGTAGAGGCATCAGGCTGAGTAGAGACATCAGGCTGAGTAGAGGCATCAGGCTGGGCAGAGGCATCGGGCTGGGCAGAGGCATCGGGCTGGGTAGAGGGATCGGGTTGGGTAGAGGGATCGGGCTGAGTAGAGGCATCAGGCTGGGTAGAGGCACCAGGCCGGGTAGAGGCATCAGGCTGGGTAGACCTCAGGCTGAAGTGCGGGTGCCGAGGCACCAGGCTGAACCACGGAAGGCAGGTTCTCAGACGGCAGCAGGCTCACCGGTTTGGATACTGGCAGGATGGTATTGGTTGGAAAGAATTTTTCGCTTTTTTCTGGTTTTAACTACTGGAGCACTGCAAGTAAATGCAGGTCTGCAAACGAATGGAGCAGCTGGAGACAGAGAAGAGCTGGAGGATGGAACAGAGGAAGGAACAGTCGCTACAGAGGGCTTTTTTACAGGGTTAAAGGCAGGATAGGTGCAGCAAGTGGGAACAGGGTACTGACATGCGGTAGATAGCAGGGCAGGAGGAGCTGTTGGGAATGCAGGAATAGAGCTTTGAGGAAATAGATTAGAAGCAGGACTGGGTTTTTGTAAGCTGACTGAGGCTGGGTGAAACAAGTCTGTCCATGTCTGCAGTATGGGTTGAACAAAGCTGAGCTTACACAAAGCCTGTCTGACCAAAGACTGCACTGCGTTTATACAATCTCTTAGTATCTGTGGTGAACATGCAGCATAACGCTCCAAGAAGTAATCCACATCATCCTCTAATAACCATACCAGGGACTCTACCTGGTCTGCACTAAATGGCGGCAAAAAGGCATTCCTGCTTTCAGGGGCACCAGATGAAGCCAACTCTACACAAACCTGAATCAAAGGTTGCACCTCAGAGAACTCTGTGCCCTGATCTACTAGAACATGAGCAATCCGTATACATTCTAGCAGTTGATCCCGGGTATACTCCCTCAGAGTCTGATAAGCATACTCTCTGTCATCAAACACTAGCAGAGATAAATACACAACCTCCTCAAGATCCATCCTTCCCATCAACAAACCAAGATGGCTTCCCTGTGCAGCCACTTCTGGTCAGGATTGGCCTTGGTGTAATGTCAGGGCTCCAGGGTATGAAAAGAGGTCTGTGACTGACGCAGGGAAACGCAGGCTTCAGATAAGTTATAAACAATATAATTTATTAAAGACTAACAATACAAACATAAATGCAGTGCAATACTAAAACATAACACAGTGCAAACGAACCAAACCAAACCACCCACAGATAATACATACAATGCAAGCGTCGTTAGGCAGGCCGGGTCAATAACAATCGGGCAGGTATGTACAGGGGGGTCAGGCAGAGAATGGTCGGGGTCACAAGCCAGGGATGAAACAGGAGAAGTCAGCAGAGGTCCAGATCAGGCAGGGTCAGCAACGAATCAGTCAGACAGGGACAGGAACAGGAATGCAGGAACAAGATACAGGGCCCAGGAAAAACACACACACCAAGGCAAAGACTGCAGGTCTGGCCATCACTTAAATACTCCTGCATAAGCAGTTTCAGGTGTTTGGCTGGCTGCAGGGTTGAGTCTCTGATTGCTGGGAGCACCCGCTGGCCAGCCCTGGTACTGCAGCCCACAAGGCAGGTGAGTCCCACCATTACTGGCAAGTCCATTCCTAACAGTATCAGAAAGAAGACGTAATGATTCTTTCAAATATTCTTCCCTATTCTGAACTGCTAGGCTACCACCCTTGTCTGCTTGTTTTATAACAATGTTTCTATTAATCGCTAGATCTTTTAAAGCCTTGTGTTCCTGTGATGAAATATTATTAACTTTTAATTTGTCTGAAGTGGTGCACAAAGTCAAGATAGAAGGTTTCAATAAAAGGACCCTTGGATTGTACTGGGTAGAAGGTAGACTTTGGTCTTAGACCCGTGTGTGTTACTTCGGGATCTAAAGAGACATTAAAATATTGACTATCACTGGCCCCTTCAAGGTTGATAATGAATAGACTTTTGCAAATATGAGACATAATGGCCAATTTATTGCTAAGATAACGCCTGGGTACTCACCTGCAGTTGTTGTTGTCTTTTTCTTCCTATTTTTATGTTGTTTTTCCCCCTTTTTTTTCTCTTCTCTTTTTCTTATAAAAAAAGAAAATTCTTCTTTTGGCTTTCTTTTCTTTTCCTATTTTCCTTCTATTTTTTGTAAGATGTTGATTATTACGACATTGGTTATCCATAGCAATGGGCCCTTATATGTGCACTTTGACTGTGTTTTATCTATATATGCAATGTATACCACTACCTGTAATTATCTGCAAGATTGTTCCATTCCCTATTTGCTCATGTACTTCTTTTCAATTAAAAAAAAGTTTGGATCGAAAGAAAAATATTGACTATCATTATTGCCTTCAGTCCATAATTCTTCCAATATATTTATAATTTCTTGATCACCTGACTAGGATGAAGAATCACCCACTGGACTGTTTATTGGGACCACATTATGAGAGTCAGTAGCAAACTGTCTTTTAATTGTTAGGGAATGCACAAATCCTTGAACAATCCAAATTTATTAGGTCCCACAGAAGGAGTGAAACTTAATCCTTTTCTCAACAATGGGAGTTCCACTTCAGTGAGTGTGTAAGAGGATAATTTATACGTCTTTATAGTACTTTCACTGTTATTTAATCTGTTATTTCTTTCCTGCTTGATCTGACATCACCGACCACCACGTCTACCTCGTTGAAATAAAAGTGAAAGGGGTGGCTTTCTGGAATCCCCCTATTTGTTATACAATTATGTATTATTTGTCGGTTCCTAGAATTAATTAGTAGCTATATAAGCTTTGACAATATTGAAGGATGTAATATACTGCAATATTAACTATAATAACAAACACAATGCTCAAAGAAGCAAGGTCTTATTTATTTACAAAGGAAATAAAACACTAACAGAGAAATCTAAACGAATATTTATTAAATATATATTTCAGGTACTTATATAGTATATATAAGTAAGTATATAGTATACAGTAAGTATATATATATATATATATATATATATATATATAGGAATAACAGTAAAGATGATACGTTACGTAAGTTCGTCCTCAAAGCTGAGTATCTTTTAGCTGGATCTGGGAAAAAATGGTCAAAGAGAGCCTGCCAAAACTGTGTTTAAAAGCCCTCTCAAACACCACCCACACACACACACATCCTTGACCCGCCTGGTGTAGTCCTCCGTCCAATGAGCAAACGTCCATAACTCATAAGGGGCTGTCCTCTCTATTTATTAGGAAGTGTAGAATTACCCAAACCATCCTCATGGAAGTATGTTGTCTCCAACAGGGGGCACTGCTATATTGCCAACAATGCTCGGACCCAGGTCAATCACATCTGGCTTCTTCCTTCTGGCTAGAAGCCATGTAATTTGTCCTTTTAATACTCGTGGCACCAGGGAGGCTGGGCTTAGGCTCTCTCATCTCTATGCCCCACCGCTAGGGGGTATGTGTGTGAACTCCCAGTACAAGGATTTTGGTATGCAGCCTTTTGTTACACACATCCTGTTGTAAATCCTTGCTTTTCTTGACACTCCAAGGTAACATGCAATAGGCCAAAGTTCTTTGACAACCAGGCAGTAAGAATCCATACATTTTTAAAATAAAAAACATGTTGCCTTCCAACATATGCCACTTTGTGCCTGAATGGCACACCATCATCTTCTTCAGAGAGCTTCCATAGAACAATCCAGACATTTCTGACATTAGGATACATAGTGCTTCCCGACACATGCTGCTTTGCACCTGCATGGCCTCTCACCATCATTCTTCAGTGACAACTTTCATGGCACCACTCAGTGTCTTCTTATTGGTATCTTCACAATAGGGTCCACTATGAGCAAGGGTGTTCATTCACTCACCATTCATCAGCACATGCTAAGAACCCTACATTAACCAGCTTTTTGATACTAAACATTGAAGAGGCCCTTACCCAACCATATTATTAACCTTATAAATGCATCTTGAGTTATAACAGCACACAAATCAACTCATTATAATATATACATGTATATGTTGACCTTATCATGATATGTTCCCATCAGTACATGACCCACCAAATAGAGCATTCCACTCCCAACCTCCTATAGCCTTGCATTATATGCTCGGAATTAGGCAGGTCTGCTCCGTATGGTATTCTCTATTGCAATTTCGGCATGCATCTGATAGTTCAGAACTCCTAATTGGTAGCAAAGCTTCTACTTTGTATAAAGATACTTTACTTTCAATTTTTTCCCTCAACTCGCATAGACAGATGCGACACCTTCTTACATAAATGTCGGGCCAAAGAACACATATAAACTTGAACCAATGACAAGACCCCAGCAAGAATGAGCAATACCACAACAGGATGCGTAAAACTATAGTAGCATTAGCTCTCTATTGCTGCAGTCTCCTGATAAGGTTTTCCTCCCTATCCCAATCTGTCAACCATTTCTTTATCCTCCTACCCATACCAGGATTCAGGGCTCCAGATTAACAGGGTGGTTATAGTTGATGTTTGCAGACAGATTGGCAATATAAAGTTCCATATATTTCTATCCCTGCACGTGGACTTCTGAGACATTGCCCAGGGGACACCTCTAGCTATGGTTAGGTTCAAGGAACAGCTTAGTTCCATGACTAACATTGTATCGGTATCCTTTAGGACAAAGTAGAAAATTCTTCTATGTCCTAAATAATACACAGGTGCTTCCTTCCTGGCAAATATCTTCCCATCCAGTACACAGAGTGAAGCATTTTCCCAAACTTCCAAACTTTAATCCCTCTCTGAAATCCCCACAGTTCACATTCCTTGGTTTGAAACTGGATAGGTTATGTCCCTCCTCTAACCAACAACCCACTTCATTTGTATACATGATACAGTTGAGTACATAATTGTCTGGAGAGATTCCAGCGTGAAGTTTCACAAGTCCTGTTGATGTGCAAAAATCATGTGTTAATGATATGACCACACTGTGTCAGGGATCGCGGAGTCCTGTCGGCCGGCGCATGCGCGCTGGCGACGGGTCACGCCGGGACACAGGCACCAGGTCCCGGCGAGCCGCGGATGACAGGACGCCGCGCATGCGTAGTGGGAGCCGCGGACGCGCCTCGGGCGGCCAATGACAGCCCGGGGGCACGTCCTGGGTGGCCAATGACAGTGCAGGGCGCTATATTTAAAGATGCCCTGCACTGTCAGTAATTGCCGCAAGGTCTATCTGTGATTCTGAGTTCCTGCACCCGTCTAGTGACCTTGTTTGACCCTGACTATGCTGCCTGCCCCTGTGATTGACCCGGATTGCCCTGACTATGCTGCCTGCTCCTGTGATTGACCCGGATTGCCCTGACTACTCTGCCTGCTCCTGTGATTGACCCGGATTGCCCTGACCATTCTACGGACTGACTTACCCTGCTGATCCTGCGTGTGACCCGACTACTCTTTGCCCGCCGATTCTGTACCCCGCTTACCCCCACGGGCACCACGATCCGTTACCACCCTGCTGGGGCCGCCATCCTCTTCACATCTGGCTCTCCCGGTACCTGCATACGTCCCCAGAGGTCTCCTCAGCCACTGGTGGGCCTGCTCAGAGGTCGTGACCTGGCCCGGGACTGTTTCTAGTCCATCCCCACCATCAGGGGCCCTGGTGAAAGCACAGCCCGGGCTTAGACCCCACACTCTGGGGTCTGTCAGTTGGCAGCCTGAGGCACCACCTGGCGGATCATAACACACTGTTTCTTCCAATTTCTATTCCAAGGCACCATTCTCAGTTACCAATTGTTCAATTTCACCTCTCGGTTCCTCACACTCACAAACATCCGCATCTGCATTTGTAGCTGCCTCCAAAATATGTTTACACACACCGTCTATCTGTTCCTTTCCTCTTGCCCTTTCAGCAAACCATATCAGTTATTTTTGCTCAGAAATTTCTTTCATTTTCAATAACATGCTCACAGCATTCGCCATTCTCGCTTTGTGTTGCCTTTCTTAGATGACGGTTTACTTTTCATACTATCATTTAGAACCAGGGGCGTACTGACCATTTGGAAACTCGGAGGGCACGGGGTCAGTGGGGGGCCCCATGAGATGCCCCTGATACCTTTTTCATAGACTTTTTTGAGTTTGGGCAAGGACACATGGGCCCCATGATCCCCTATTGCCCGGGGGCCCCATGAGTTGTCAGTCCGCCCCTGTTTAGAACCTCATATTGTTTTAACAAATCAATACATTGATGAGTCAATGCATCTTCTGCACAACTGTTCAAAGGTCAGAGGTATGTTCAGAGGTATGTTTCTTAAGAAAATGTTCAACAACATCCACTGATGTGCTAATTACGTTCACACTGAAAGTTGACCAGTCTGCACATCATTAGCTGCTGAGACATAACACACACTGACAGACACAGCTGTTCCAAAGTTAAGCTGGGATCTTTAGTCCCACAAAGAGAACCATACTATCAAACTAGTGTTTAATTTTTCTCCTTCACCACTGGCTGTAACCCTAACACACAGATCTTAGGCCAAGAGTGATCTTCTGTTGAAGCAGAAAGCTAATTCCCTTTCACATGGATAAAACTGTAAATATAATCTGTACTTGACTACTGCAACTCCCTCCTCACTGGCCTGCCTCGCCGCTGGCTATCCCCGCTTCAGTCGATCCTGAATACGGCTGCCAGACTCATTCACCTTTCCAACCGCTCCATCTCCGCCACCCCCCTCTGCCAATCCCTCCACTGGCTTCCGATTGCCCAACGGATCAAATTCAAAATCCTAACGCTGACGTACAAAGCCATCCACCATACTGCCCCGAACTACATCACCGACCTAATATCCAAGTACCGCCCAGCACGCACACTCCGCTCCTCACAAGACCTCCTTCTCTCTAGTTCCCTGGTCTCCTCCTCCCATGCCCGCCTCCAGGACTTCTCCAGGGTGTCACCCATCCTCTGGAACTCCCTGCCCCAACCCATCAGATTATCACCTACTCTCCTCTCCTTTAGGCGCACCCTGAAAACCCATCTCTTCAGGGAAGCCTACCCCACCCCCTGCTAACTTGCCGACCTCCTCCACTCTTCCTACCACCCCATCCCCCACAGCTATCTCCTCCTGTGCCACTATCCCCCCCTCCTAGATTGTAAGCTCCAAAGAGCAGGGCCCTCGAACCCCACGTGTATCACATTGTATTGGTATTGTTCTGTCACATGTTCTTTCCCCCTTTGTAATGTACAGCGCTGAGCGAACTATTGGCGCTTTATAAATACTGTATAATAATAATATTTCTTCCACTTTCATCTCAAAGATGTCTGGTTTATCCTATAGATTTACAGGGTGTGTCAGTTAACCAAGGGTGAGCAGCCTTCACTTGCCGGCACACAACTGAACTGCTAAACAGGCCTAAAACATATACATCAACAATACAATAAACCTTAACACATACACATGTACCAGCTAAAGATACGAAAACGTTATACTCACCTCACCAGATAGGCGCATCCACTTACTCATGGAGTATTTCACAGAACCTTCAGTACCACTCTAGCAGGGCTTCAGACTTCACGAACCAGCGCAAATCTTGTCCACAGCAGAGATGAAAGCCTTTGGTTCTGGGTCTCTTGTAGAGTTTTGTACTTCTTAGCTTATAGCAGTATTTATCAACCTTTTGTTTAGTCAAGGCACCCTTTAACCCCTTGCCTACTGGGCACTTATACCCCTTCCTGCCCAGGCCAATTTTCAGCTTTCAGCGCTGTCACACTTTGAATGACAATTGCGCGGTCATGCAACACTGTACCCATATGACATTTTTAGCATTTTTTTGAGACAGATAGAGCTTTCTTTTGGTAGTATTTAATTACCTCTGGGTTCTTTATTTTTTTTGCTAAGCAAGCCAAAAACAGCTGAAAATTTGAAAAAAAAAAAGTTTTTTCTTAATTTTTGTTATATAATTTTGTAAATAAGTGATTTTTCTCCTTCACTGATGTGCGCTAATGAGGCTGCACTGATGGACACTGATAGGCTGCACTGATGGGCACTGATGAGGAGGCACTGGTAGGTGGCATTGATGGGCATTAACAGGCATCACTGATGGGCACTAAAAGGCAGCACTCATATATGGCACTGATAGGCGCCACTGACTGGCACTGATAGGCGGCACTGACTGGCACTGTTAGGCGGCACTGATAGGCAGCACTGACAGGCACTGATAGGCGGCACTGACGGGCACTGATAGGCGGCACTGACTGGCACTGATAGGTGGCAATGACTGGCATCACTGATAGGTGGCACTGACTGGCATTGATAGGTGGCACTGAAAGGCAGCTCAGATGGGCACTGATATGTGACATTGATGTGCACTGAAGGGCACTGGCAGGTGGCATTGATGAGCACTGACAGCTGGCATTGATGGACACTGACAGGTGCCACTGCTGGAGCTACACTGATCATCAGTGCCCTGATGATCAGTGTACATGTCCCCTCCGAGGAATGCCGATTACCGGCTCTCCTCTCCTCTGTCAGCGTGACAGCTCGTGAGGAGAGAAATGCCGATAACCAGCATTTCCTTATTTACATGCGGCCTTGTGTAACTAGAAGGCAGTCATGGTCCACCAACTGACCTGTATACTAGTTTTGGGCAATTTTTAGACATTTTGCCAAGGCACCCCTGCAGAAACCTCAAGGCACCCCAGGGTGCCTGGGCACCCTGGTTGAGAAAGGCTGACTTATAGGAAATCAAAACAAAAGTACATTAGGGTTTGGGTTCTGTGCGGAATTTGTTTCCACACTCCTGCTTCTGGGGTGCTAAATTAAATAAAATGTAAGGGGGTGGTTTTCTGGAATCCCCCTATGTATCACACAATTATGTATTATTTGTCGGTCCCTATAATTAATTAGTAACTATATAAGCTTTGACAATATTGAAGGATGTAATATACTGCAATATTAGCTATAATAACAAACACAATGCTCAAAGAAGCAAGGTCTTATTTATTTACAAAGGAAATAAAACAGAGAAATCCAAACGAATATTACAGACTATATAGGAATAATAGTAAAGATGATACGTTACGTAAGTTCGTCCTCAAAGCTGAGTATCTTTTAGCTGGATCCCAGGTAGGAAAAAATGGTCATAGAGAGCCTGCCAATAATGTGTTTGGTAGCCCTCTCAAACACCACCCTTGACCCGCAGTTTTGTGCATAGACTATTAACATCATTTTCATTTTTTAATTCTTTAAATCACATTTTTTTTATTGTAGTATTCTGTATATTAATTAATTTTTTAAGTTTATTACAATCCAATGCTTTCTAATAAGCATTTTTGCTGCTTTTAAAAGTATGAATTGTTTTATTTGCAGATTGTATATTTACATTATTGATATAAGTTTATATACCTAATATTATCTTTTATGGATTACCATAATGCAGTATGGATAATTGTGTCAATCAATGTTTTTTAGGGGACTCTGCAGATGTATTGGCGTAATGCAGTGGTGGAATATCCGTTCTAGTTTCGCCCCTGGGTAACGCCGGCCCACTTGTTGTGTTCCCTTTTATAAATGAGCTGGTAACCACTGATATCCATGACTTGATAAAGCATATGCATGCAAGTGAAGCTTGCGGTCCAAGCCCAGTGGTCAACTTCCGCTTCCTCCCGGGACCCTGTAACATCAGTCCTGGAGCACAGCGGCCGAGACAGCGGTACACTCCGATTACCACCATCCCACATCCCGGCCCGTGGGCATAAGTGAGCGTATATTCCACCTGGTACCACTGAGGGTCACCGCACCTCCTGAATGAGCTTTGTTTTTTTAATGTAATGCTTTTTATGAAGTACTTATGGAATAACAGTATACCCCTTATGATACCCATTATGGGGTGAGTATCATAAGCCTGGCCTGTCAGGTAGCCGGAGCTTGCGAACCCAGCAGGAAGACCGGGTGAAGGTGGAAGCCTCTGCAGCGGGGACAGCACGCTGCTGGAGGGCTTCGTTTTAAGGTAAGTTTTACATAATTATTTGTTTCAGGTACTTATATAGCGCTGTCAATTTACGCAGCACTTTACATATATATTGTACATTCACATCAGTCCCTAACCCTCAAGGGGTGTACAATCTAAGGTCCTTAACTCACATATACACATACTAGGGCCAATTTGGACAGGAGCAAATTCACCTACCAGCATGTCTTTGTAGTGTGGGAGGAAACCTGTGCAGGCACAGGGAGAACATGCAAACTCCAGGCAGGTGGTGCTGTGGTTGGGATTCGAACCGATGACCCTAGTACTACCAGGCGGAAGTGCTAACCATTTAGCCACTGTGCTGCCCATAATGTGCTAGTATGCGATGCATACTAACACATTATGACATTGCCTTACAGGGGACTTTTACTACCACTTTAAAGAGGAACTTCAGCCTCCCCTAAAAAAATTAAAAGTCATTAGCTACAAATACTATTGCTGCTGACTTTTAATATAAGGACATTTACTTGTCCAAGGATCCAGCACTGTCCTCACCTGAGCTAATTCTTCATTGGGCTTTGGGTCCCTAGCGCCAGCACCTTAACCAAAGGAAACCAGCTGAGAAGCTTTGTAGCATCCTACTGTGTATGTGCGAGCTGCACTGCACTTTGTGAATGGTCTTGCAGTCTTCTGGGAATTATGATGTGTTGCAGAAGGCTGCTGGCGAAGGTGGGGGTGAAATTCCACTTGGATTGCCTAGGTGATCCAGGTTAGAGTGAGATAAAACCAGGTGCCCGCTATCCTCCCCCCTTCTAAAAAAAGGTGCCAAATGTTAACGTGCAAACAAGTGAAACTTCCCCTTTTGGATAAAGCTACACTTTAAAGTGTGAGAAATAGGTGAGAGATGGCGAGCTGGGGTTATTGAATAGGTTATATGACAGAGGCAGTCCTTAAGATGTTTCTTCTGCCGGCTATCATTGGGGCTCTTTAGGAATTGTTGGTGCACTTTGCGAGAGTCCTGATGAATCTGCATGCAGTTATTGTAGGCTGTAGAGTTGATGTAGTCTTTGAGCAGATATTGAGCAGATGCATGTCAAAAACCTTGACAGTTCAGTTGAACCATGGTAAAGAGTTAGTATTGGTGTAGTATACGTCTTGTAGAAGTGCTGTGTACGGCTAGTGTAGATGCAGCATGTGAGAGGTGTAGTTGGCATCTTGCCCCTAATAACTTAGTCTCTGCTAACAGTATAAGCAATGGGCCAATAGCCCTCTCACCAATCCCAGGGTACAGCTGTAGGTGTCCTTGGTGAAAGGGGCCCCCTCAGACTCTCCATAATACCTACAGCGATCAGCGGTGTGAGCGGATGGTGGATGGACATTTTGACCTGCTTGTAGCCATGGCACAGGTTTTACTAATGTAGCCAAAGCTGTGTTGCAACTCACCTAACTCAACTCGCCTCAACAAGATCCAGTTCCCTCCAGCTGGACTCTCCAGTAGTTAACAGAGGTCCTTTCTCCTTTAGCCCTGGCACCAAAAAGCCCTGAACTATTCCAGGCAGAAAAGTGAAAATACTCCCTCACTCCGCCTGAATCCCTTAGTCCAATGGGATCTGTATTTTTTTCACTATCTCACACTTTGCTGACTAGGACTACATGTCCCAATGTGCACTGAAGCTGTGATCTCCCCTGCCACTGATTCGTCTAAGGAAAAGAGCAGGGGGTGGGAGGTGCTACAAGGGGAAATCTCTGAATTCAAGATGATACTACAGTACCTTTTAATGAGCTGTTCATTTTTTATCTTGTTATTTTTAGCTGGAGTTCTGTCTTAAGAGTGGCTATAGACAGACAGGTGCAAGGTACGAAAACTGACAATTCTGAAAGCTTAAGAGTTATTCTTGAATCTGGTATATTGCTTGATTTTTTATTTATGCATTGGCCAGACTCAGTCTTTTTCTAACTTTGGCTTTGACTTCTCCCCAAAAACACATTTAGTACGTTACATCTTCAAAACACAGACTGTTGGCAGCCCTGCCATGAAATAATATTAAACATCTAGTCGTTTCTAGGGAATTCTGCATCCAGCTATAATGCACTCTGTAATTTGGGCTTCAGAACTGCTAATCCTGTTGAATCTGTTGGACTGGTTGTTTTGGGAATGTGAGGACCTCTCCCTCTAGACCTGCACAACGAAGTGCATTTGTCACCTTAATTGTTTACAGTTTGTTCCTTGACCTGAGTCCAGAAGAACAGCTGCTGAACATAGGGCATGATGTCATCAGCGCTTCTAGATGAGAACTTTCCATGTAAACTGACCCTGAGATTCTTTATAATGTAGCAGCACCATCCCAAATAACTGGAGGATTCAATAAAAAAAAACACTGCATACTGAAATAATAAAGATTCTGGATTGTGCTCTCTCCCAAATCACGTAGAGGACCTTAAAAGAATAACATTGTAAGTGTTTTTGATACTATGAAAGTGTACGTATAACCATGTGGAAATCTCCCATCGTGAATGCACTTATTACACAGTTATTCCCAGAATAGGTGTCTTCACTTGCAGATTACCTTTTTGTTCTAGTGACAATTGTAACATTTTGGATTGGCCCTCTGGGTTTTTTTTTTGGTGACAGTGGTCACCTGTACAAATAATTCAATAAGCAGTACTATTCTGTATTCACATCATTGTGTTGAGTGGGGAGCCATCTATTGGGCCTTCACTGCAGTTGCACTTTTTGTACTTTTGTCAATAAAGAACAGGGAGTGTCTCATGCTTGTTAAAAATAAAGATTTCCCATCTACCACTGCACTTCCACTTTAGCTTACAGAAGAACACACCAGTGAAGGCTTCCTTTCTCCCTTTGAAACACATATGCCTGTAAGTGTGTTTGTCAAATCATACACATACAGTGCTCAGCACAAATGAATACACCCCTTTTGAAAAGTAAGATTTTATTTAAAGTGGTTGTAAAGGCTGACGTTTTTTTACCTTCATGCATTCTATGCATAAAATGTAAAAAACCTTCTGCGTGCACAGTGCCCCCATCCCCCTCAATACTTACCTGAGCCCCATCATGATCCAGCAATGTGAATGACAGCCTGGGCTGTCTCAGATCTCTGCCTTCTGTTAGGTCTGCCTTCTGTCAAGTCTCTAGCTTCTGTTAATCACAGCTAGTCAGCCAATGAGGGGGGGCCAAGAAGCGGCTCCATGTGTGAATGAACACAGAGAGCAGCGGGTGCCCCCATACCAAGCTGCTTGCTGTGGGGACACCCAACAGGAGGGAGGGGTCAGAAGAGCCTGCAGGGGACCCGAAAAGAGGAGGATCCAAGCTGCCCTATGCAAAACCACTGCACACAGTATAGACATGTTTGTTATGTTCCACAAAAAAAATATGAAACTTTAGTATCACTTTAATATCTCAATGAACAGAAAGACAATTTCCACAATTTTGGCAAAACTGAGTTTTATAGAAAATTTGTTTAGCTCATTACATGAAAGTAAGTTTAATAGTATAACTTATATTACAAAATCTTCAGTTTTTTACTCAAATTCATTGATGCAAAAATGAATACACACCCCACAACAAAAACTACTACATCTAGTATTTTGTATGACCTCCATGATTTGTAAGGAGAGCACCAAGTCTTCTAGGCATGGAATGAACAAGTCGGTGACATATTGCAACATTTATCTTTTTCCATTCCTCAAGAACGACCTCTTTCAGAGCCTGGATGCTGGATGGAGAGTGATGCTCAACTTGTCTCTTCGGAATTCACCATAGGTGTTGTTCAGAGCAGGAGACATTCTTGGCCACTGAAACACTTTCACCCTGTTCTTCTTCAGGAATGCAACAGTGGCCTTAGGTGTGTGTTTTGGATCATTGTCATGTTGGAAAAGTGCACGACCACCAAGGGCACTGAGTGATGGGGAGCATCTTCTCTTTCAATATAGAGCTGTACATCTGTGAATTCATGATACCATCAATGGAATGCAACACCCCGACACCAACAGCACTCATGCAGCCCAACAGAAGGACGCTGCCACCACCATGTTTCACTGTAAGCACCATGCATTTTTCTTTGTACTCCTCACCTTTACGACGTCATACAGTTTTGAAGCCATCAGTTCCAAAAGGATTTATATTGGTCTCATCACTCCAGGTTACAGAGTCCCAGTAGACTTCTTCTTTTTCAGCATGGGCCCTGGCTTTTTTAGTGCATGGGCTGTAAGAGAGGCCTCCTTCATGGACGACACCCATGCATGCCATTCCTCTGCAGTGTATGCCGTATTTTGTCACGGGAAACAATCACCCCAGTTTGACTTTCTACTTTTTTAGCTAACTGCAGTGAACTTGCATGGTGATTTTCCTCAACCCTTCTCATCAGAAGACGCTCCTGTCGAGGTGTTAACTTCCATGGACGGCCTGGATGCTTTGTTAAATTTTTTTTATCACTTTTACAACAGTATTCTGACTGATAAGTAAAGCTTTGCTGATCTTCTTGTAGCCTTCACCTTTCTTGTGTAAAGAAATTATTTTTTTTTCTCAGGCCTTGTGACATTTCTCTTCCATGTGGTGCCATTGCTGACAGCATGAAATGGGAAGGGGTTTTTCTTTGTTAAGTAACGCGCTTTTATAATCAACTGTCTGCTGGACACCTGTTTAACTACTTGCCAACCGCAGATAGCCGAATGACGGCTACACTGCGGCCGGCCAGTTCTGGGAGGGCGTCATATGACGTCCTCCCAGAACAGGCGCGCACCCAGCGATCTCCATGGTCGAACACAGCTGATCACGTGATGTGGTAAAAGGCCAATCACAGCGGCCTTTTACCACGTTATCAGCAGTATCCAATGACGCGCTGATCACCGGGAAATGCAATTGCCGGTTCTCGGCTGCACTTTCCTCACTGCCGAGAACCAGCAGTTGTCAGAGCAGGGATCGGCACCGATCATCAGGGCACTGATGATCAGTGCCCTGATGATCGGTGCCCAGTAGTGCCACCCACCAGTTCCGCCCACCTGTGCCCAGCAGTGCGCCCACCTGAGCTCAGCAGTGCACCCTTCTGTGCCCAGCAGTGAACTCAGCTGTGCCACCCAGCAGTGCCATCTACCTGTGCCCAGACGTGCCACCTACCTGTGCCCAGCAGTGCCACCCACCTGTGCCCACCAGTGCCCATCAGTGCAGCCCAGCGGTTGTGCCAATCAGTGCCCAACGGTTGCGCCAGTCAATGCCTAGCAGTGCCGCCAGTCAGTGCCCAGCAGTGTTGCCAGTCAGTGCCACCTATCAGTGCCGCCTATCCGTGACACCTCAATAGTACTGCCTATCAGTGCTGCCTATCCGTGCCACCTCATTAGTGCTGCCTATCAGTGCCGCCTATCAGTGCCCATCAGTGCTGCCTATTAGTGCTCATCAGTGCCGCCTATCAGTGCCCATCAGTGCTGCCTTATCAATGCACATCAGTGAAGGAGAAAAATTACCTGTTTGAAAAATTTTATAATAGAAACAAAGAAACTTTTTTTTTTTTTGCACTTTTTTTGTTTATAGCGCAAAAAGTAAAGTGCCCAGCGGCGATTAAATACCACCAAAAGAAAGCTCTATTTGTGAGAAAAAAATGATAAAAATTTCATATGGGTACAATCTTGCATGACCGCGCAATTGTCAATCAAAATGCGACAGCGCTGAAAGCTGAAAATTGGCCTGGTAAAGAAGGGGGTATAAGTACCGGTAGGCACGTGGTTAATGAATAATTAGACTCACCTGTAGTTGAATTCTTGTTCATTAGGATTTTGTTGTCTAAAATTTAGCTTTGCTCCTAAGGTCATTGGGGTGTATTCATTTTTGCAATATGGTCTTGAATGAATTTGTTAGGAAAAATACTTTTTTGTGTGTGCAAATTAACAAATCTTGTTTGCAGTCAATGGCCCGTATTTGTAGGAGTATTTGTAGTATAGTGTCCCATAGAGAATGTTGATTCTGAAAGGAAAGGTTTTCTGAGAAATCTGTTGGGGTGTACTCATGCTTAGCACTGTATATCTAGATTGCATCATTTCAATAGAGTTAATGCAATTTGTAGCTAGCTGTTTGTAATAAATGAGTTAATTGTATGAATTTATAAAATACATATATACAAGCATATTGTAACTTCAGTTTATGTGATTGTATTGCAGTTATACATAACTATTTACAGAAGTAAATTCAGTTTTGGAATGAAACACAATTTTGTTTCTGTCAGTTTTGTTAGTTAGCTGACAGCTAACCATTAGTAGGACAGCAGAAGAACAGTACACAAAGACTGAGGACATGTATGCTAGCCATAATCAGCAGCAACAGGATCGCTAAGAGGTCGCCTGTTTTGCCTCATGTATTCATTCTCTTTACAGAAGAGGAGACAAGATGTCACTCCAATCACTAGCGATGAAGATTCAGCATTGTTCAAGCCAATGACAGGACCACATCTCATTGCGTGTGGCTACAGAGGGAGTGATTTTATTGGGACACACAGGCAGCCTCTTTAGCAATCCTGCCCCTGACGATTTTTTGCTAGTGCCAGAATTGACCATGTGTTATCAGTTACTTGTTCTTATCCTCACAGACAGCACCCCTCACATTGAGGTTCAGGCTATGTCTAGTAACACAGGTGACCAGCTGGAGGGATCTCAGCTGGCAATACAGGCGACTGGCTGAAGAAATCTAAGGACTAGTAATACAGATGAGTCAGTGGAGACGTCTCAGGACTGGTAATACAACTGAGAGGTTGGAGAAGTCTCAGGGCTGGTAACACAAGTGAGTGGGAGGAGAAGTCTTAGGGCTGGTAACACAGGTGAGTGGGTAAAGAAGTCTCAGGACTGGTAACACAGGTGAGTGGGTGGAGAAGTCTCAGGGCTGGAAACACAGGTGAGCAGGTGGAGAAGTCTTAGGACTGGTAACACAGGTCAGTGGGAGAAGTCTTAGGGTTGGTAGCACAGGTGAGCGGGTGGAGAAGTCTCAGGACTGGTAACACAGGTGAGTGGGTGGAGAGGTCTCAGAAATGGTAACACAGTTGAGCAGGTGGAGATGTCTCAGGACTGGTAACACAAGCGAGTGGGAGGAGAAGTCTCAGGACTGGCAAGACAAGTGAGTGGGAGGAGAAGTCTCAGGACTGTTAACAAAAGTGAGTGGGAGGAGAAGCCTCAGGACTGGTAACACAAGTGAGTGGGAGGAGAAGTCTCAGGACTGGTAACATAAGTGAGTGGGAGGAGAAGTCTCAGGACTGGTAACAGAAGTGAGTGGGAGGAGAAGTCTTAGGGCTGGTAACACAGGTGAGTGGGTGGAGAAATCTCAGGACTGGTAACACAGGAGAGTGGGTGGAGAAGTCTCAGGAATGGTAACACAGGTGAGCAGGTGGAGAAGTCTCAGGACTGGTAACACAGGTGAGTGAGTGAAGAAGTCTCAGAGCTGGTAATACAGGTGAATTCCAATGTATATTAAATAGAAGCTGCGTGCTACTGGATTCCTGCCATACACCTGACTGCAGAACACATGCCCAGCCATCTTGGCTTCACCAGATGCTGTCTCTCTGAGATGGTATGGGTGGGAAGCAAGGAAACATATTCCATGGGCATGTTCAGTAAAGTCAGTCCCCTGTGCTGTGGTTGAGTATGAATGCAGTAGTTTGATACTTGCCCTGCTGTCAAAGCTAAAGTTCTCCAATAAGCAGGGGGCATGAGCTATACTGATTGGAGAGCTCTAGCTCTGACAGCGGGGAAGAGGGATGCTGGGGAGTGGACAGTCAGGTGGTGTGAAGGACCACAGCATCTAGACTCAGCACAGTAGTCCAGCTCTACATCCATGCCCGACAACAAGAATTTGTAGAGCAGCAGGTTATTTCAAATCTGAAACAAGTAAATCTCCTCAGTCTACTTACTTTTACAACCATCAATTACAGCATTCATTTTTTTTCCCCGGAGGGCAACAAAAAAGCGGAAATACTGGCGCTTCAGGATAATGCTTGTGTAGAAAAATTAAGAGAATAAGACACCATGACAGATCCTGAAGCAATAGGTCAAACAGACAAAGGGGTTGCACTCGAAAATGTGTTTACTGATTCCCAAATCATGCTACCATGCACTGCATGGAGGCAGCTAGTTATTGGCTGAAGCTGTCAGTCCCTTCAGCACCAGCACACTTCATTCTGCTGGTTCTTACCAGCGATCACTAGCTGTCTCTGACCCATCTGACTCCTTCCCAATTGTAAGTGAAAATTTGATAACTCCATGAATGATCCAAGGTGCCAGGTTGTAGCTGCATTAAATGTTTTGTGTCCAAATAGACAGGCAGAGGGCAAAGGACTAGTCACCAATAATACTTGTGATCTCTCTAGAGCTGATCTTTTCCCACTTACCATGCCTCATTGCTCTCATGTGTCTCTTTATAAAGGTGGTCATTTTAGTAGAGGCAGGGCTTTGCCTCCTCATTTGAGATCCTCCTTTAAGGAGAACAGTGAACAGCACAGTAGTGCTAAGATTTGAAGCATAGACTGCATGGACTGAACCCCATCTGACTACTTCCCCAATTGTAAGTGAAAATTTGATAACTCCATGAATGATCCAAGGTGCCAGGTTGTAGCTGCATTCAATTTTTTGTGTCCATATAGACAGGCAGAGGGCAAAGGACTAGTCATTAATAATACTTGTGATATCTCTAGAGCTGATCTTTCCCCACTTACCATGCCTCATTGCTCTCATGTGTCTCTTTATAGTGGTGGCCATTTTAGTAGAGGCAGGGCTTTGCCTCCTCATTTGAGATCCTCCTGTAAGAAGAACAGTGAGCAGCACAGTAGTGCTAAGATTTGAAGCATAGACTGCATGGACTGAACCCCGTCTGACTACTTCCCAATTGTAAGTGAAAATTTGATAACTCCATGAATGATCCAAGGTGCCAGGTTGTAGCTGCATTCAATTTTTTGTGTCCATATAGACAGGCAGAGGGCAAAGGACTAGTCATTAATAATACTTGTGATATCTCTAGAGCTGATCTTTCCCCACTTACCATGCCTCATTGCTCTCATGTGTCTCTTTATAGTGGTGGCCATTTTAGTAGAGGCAGGGATTTGCCTCCTCATTTGAGATCCTCCTGTAAGGAGAACAGTGAGCAGCACAGTAGTGCTAAGATTTGAAGCATAGACTGCATGGACTGAACCCCATCTGACTACTTCCCAATTGTAAGTGAAAATTTGATAACTCCATGAATGATCCAAGGTGCCAGGTTGTAGCTGCATTCAATTTTTTGTGTCCATATAGACAGGCAGAGGGCAAAGGACTAGTCATTAATAATACTTGTGATATCTCTAGAGCTGATCTTTCCCCACTTACCATGCCTCATTGCTCTCATGTGTCTCTTTATAGTGGTGGCCATTTTAGTAGAGGCAGGGCTTTGCCTCCTCATTTGAGATCCTCCTGTAAGGAGAACAGTGAGCAGCACAGTAGTGCTAAGATTTAAAGCATAGACTGCATGGACTGAACCCCGTCTGACTACTTCCCAATTGTAAGTGAAAATTTGATAACTCCATGAATGATCCAAGGTGCTAGGTTGTAGCTGCTTTCAATTTTTTGGGCCCATATAGACAGGCAGAGGGCAAAGGTCTAGTCACCAATAATACTTGTGATCTCTCTAGAGCTGATCTTTCCCCATTTACCATGCCTCATTGCTCTCATGTGTCTCTTTATAGAGGTGGCCATTTTAGTAGAAGCAGGGCTTTGCCTCATCATTTGAGATCCTCCTGCAAGGAGAACAGTGAACAGCACAGTAGTGCCATCGCCAAATCTAACTCCAGATCTCTTTAGACCAGCAGTTAGCAGCAGTACCTTAGATCACACATTGCAGATATACATCTATGAAGCTGTAGGCATAGGAGTGAGTAGGTACGCTTGCATATTAGGAGCTGCACTGCTATTTTTCATATTAAAAAGGTAGATTTTTCAAGGTACAGCTTAGGCATAATTAGCTTTTCTAGTTGTTCCCTATAACATTGCAAAGCTCCAGTTTTTCCATTCAGTTTTACTTTAAACTGAGTTCACCCTTTCAGAAAGATTGGTGGGAAAATGTGTAAGCAAGTGCACTTAGCTAGTCTGCCACAATATGGCTCTGTCCCAGAATAGTGCTAGTAACAGAGAATAGTGTAATCAGGTGCTAGGTTCCTTTTAGTTAGGGCCCTGCTGTAGTGATGTCATGAGTCAGTGCCTAGATTCAAGCCAGATTGGGCGGAGCCTTAGTGCAGTCGAGGAACGGGACCCCACCAGCATGCAGATGTATTCAGCTAAGTGGTACTTGTGATATGTATATGGATATGACTGTATATACGGCACTATATACGTACCTGAAGAAAAATTAAATAAATAAATATATGCCTCCGACAGTCAAAAGAATACAGTAAGGAT